AGATATTGCTTCTTCTCGTGGCATCACTTCCTTTTAAATTTCACACAAAGATGGTGAAGTGAGTTTTGATAATTGCTGGTGGTGTTGAAATCAAAAGTCATTGTAAAAAGATCTGTTTTTAAAATTAAATCCAGCAATGAAATGAAATCCCTTCCTCTGCCCGAGATCATGAAGATTCACAAAAAAGCGATATAGAGAGAAATAAAGCAGCTTAATATTGGGAGAGGGGATGGACACTATATTCTAACATATATTTTTGTTTGTTTCTTTTGTTTTGTTATGTTTTGCTCAGGTTTTTTTTTCTTCTCCTTTTTAATTTGTCTTGGAGTTTTTTCTGTTTAGCTACAGATTTTATATGGGAAACGTTGTTGTTTTAGTTTGCGTATCATTCATTTATGAATATGTACGCCGATGACGGACCGATAGTCTTTATAACGGTGACTTCTGATTAATTATCTTCACATTTTAAAATTTTTAACGGAAGTTTTCAACAGGTCAACTTAACATTTAAATTAAAAAACGACGCTACATGTATGAGTAGGAGAATGAACTTTTCGATATCGAGAAAAAAAATAAGGCGAAGTTGATAAACAAGAAGCAAGCTATCAACTATGTATCCCAAATATTGCGATGAGATGAATGACATGCGTTCTTAATCCTCGAGATGCTCGAACCCACCATAAACCTTTCGCTCAAACATTAGAAGCAGATGACCAGAATACCGCTTGCTTGCTGCTAAACTCTAAAGCTATCCAGCTTCGCCTAATCCCAAATAGAAATGTCGGATTTACAAAACGGGCCGTTTGGTATTAGAGAGATTGGACCCTGCGTTGGAAAATTGATTCTTGAATATAGACTCCTCTCATCAGTTTACGCTGATTGATCTTGGGTAGTAGCTGCTGATGGATTTATATTCAAAGGCAAACGGATTGCAATTATACGTGTATCTACCTCAATGAATTTTCACGACGTCTTCAAACGTGTATTAGTGTTGCCGAAGTCCTAACACTTAATGGAGAGTTTGGTAATATATACATGGAATATTTTCTGTCAACAGGAAATATACATAAGCTCTTCAGGATTACAGGTGGATGGACATTTTTATATGAATTCATACCGTTTTAGCGAAGAGATTGTGATTGTTTTCTCAGTTAATGTTGAGGAGTATTTACATTTATAAACAAGGGTTTAGTATAAAGAAATCCTCGTCTAGGAAAAAAAACGCACATGGGTATAAAACGTAACTAATTAGTCTAGCTTGTTCACTATCTAGGTTTCCCGAAAAAAATGTGTTGTTTCTTTGCTTCAAGATTTGATAATCCTGTTGTCATAATTATATACGCCATGATAACTTATTGACCTATGTCATATTCAAATCCAAAATATCATCAGGTGTTGCTATAAAGCAATGACGTTAATCACAAAAAATATATATATTTGTACAATACAATTCAGCATTTTTTTCTCTTTGTACATATGTACGTAATAAGAAAGCGTCGACCAGTATCTCTCAACCAATACAAAGCGTCATTACACTAATAAATGATCACTGCAATAAACGCATACTAATTCAAATTCTTCACCGTCACCACCACCACCAACATCATCATCATATTCATCATCATCACCATCACAATCACCATCATCACCATAACCATCATCACCATCACAATCACCATCATCACAATCATCACCATCACCTTACAATCATCATCATCATCACAATCATCATCATCATCATCACAATCATCATCATATTTATCATTATAATCATCATCCCATACCGCAAAAATGAGACATTTTCTTAAATTCTTTGACAGTATGATATTAATATTTGTGTGGCCTATGATTCTAGTCATATTTTTTTTTAAAGAAACAAAATGGTGCTTTAAAAATACCTTTCAATGATCAAATGATTTTTTTTGCGACGCTCAAGCGTGCCTGATAGAGGCTTATATGTGTTGAATTCCCTCAAAATCTGTCTAAATTACTCAGTTAATATAACAGCTGGAATTTAAAAAATTCTCTGCTTCGTAAATGTTCTAAATGTCGTAATACTACACATTAATAAATTCAGACAAAACAACGAAATTTTGCTTGATATTGAACATAGTGAATTTATTGCAACACTCAATTATCAGCTGTACAACACGACTCTGAACCTCTTGAAATGAGCTTCAGATTCAAAATGAAGAAGAAAATGTTTAAAATCAGATAATTGGGATATTAAGCAATAAATAAGTACAGATCCATATCATCTGTTCAGAGCCAGAAGGGCATTAAGTCTGTGTATAAGTATGCCAGGAGTTATAATGCCCTTTTGGCTCTAAGCCAGACACATAACCAAGATTTGAGATGCATTCATGACGGATTATATGCATGACATAGAAACCAAATGGCTTGAATTCACAGGAAATTGGTAGAAAATAAGGGAAGTGCATCTCAAATCACACATGTGAAGTTGAGCTCTCTCCCACATGACAACAATATAGCAATAGCCCATCAACTGAACCACTGCAAAATTGTAGACAGTACCTGCAGATGACACATGCTAAAGCATACATGCCAACATTTGAAAATCAGAAATCTGTACAAATTATGCTATTTTCAAAAAAAAAGAGGAACAATCCTAACTCTCCTATTCAATACTACAGACAAATTTGTACAGGAAGAGGAACACCTGCATTAAAATGATAATTATCTTCTCCCAAAAAGAGGAATGTTTCTCTTTAATCTGAACAGTTGGCATGTATGCTAAAGATGTACATCTGCAGGGGCCACCAGTGACACATAATGAGGAAAATTGGATCCGTTCACATAGTGGATGAGGGGAAAATAAAACAATACCCTTGTTGGAACAATGTGGAAGTTCAACAGGTTTCTAGAGTTGTTCGGTACCGAGATTGCACATGTGGGAGCACACTAGATCCTAACCCTGGGGCAGAATATTACATTTCATCAGAGAGAGTCATCTAAATCCCCTAACCTGGTTTTTTTTAATTGTTCTCCTCCTGAAAAAGTATTGCTCCCACCTTAAATGTCTCTGCCTAGAAAGAAACCACAAAAGTGGACTTCTCTCTTTCATTTTCTTACATGAAATCATTTCAGGATATAAAGTGAAAGAAAAATATATTCGGTGAGCAAGATTTGAACCCATACAGATAAATGGCAAGCTAGAATACAAGTATTTCATATACATTCACATGAGGAATTATGAACAAATACAAAACCTTTAAAAAAATTCTACATATCTTTGTAGTGATTGAAGAGTGATTTTTAAATGAAATGGAGAAATTTTACTACATGTGTACAGTCTCAGTAACATACATACTTCTATTTGAAGAAAAAAAATGAAACAACACAATTATTTCGATGAAAAGAAAGTTAATAAGATAGAATAAAACATTTAAAAGATAAAACTACAATGTCTATAACTTACTTAAAATATACAATATAAAAGATGTTGAAATACATACATCCATTGCACTACATAATATTACACCAATAGTTGGGCTTATGTGATGAAATACACTGGTCCCAGCACAAAACAGCACACTAATTTGGCAAAGATTTAATTTCGCTTTACCTATCCAGTATAAATAAAAGCGTCATGATTGGCTTTGTGAAAGATTGAGGGGTACAAAGAAAGTTTTTACTTGTGTTACTTTAAAACATGTATATGTATTTGAATTTACATACAAAATATATTACACTTAATTTTTAGGTAATTTTTGTCTGATCTATATGACAAGCAAAAGAGATTGAGAGAGAGAGGAAAGAGAAATTGAGATAGTAATGGAGAGAGTGGAGAAACAGAGAGAGAGAGAGAGGGGGAAAAGAGAGAGAAAGAAGGGGTGTAGAAACACAGTTTAAAAGCCTTAACAGTTTTCGCATCATACAAACATGAATTCGTTGTCAAAACCTTGCAATATAAACACGTCATATAAGATGTCATCATCATACAAAATATACATACACAATTATTTATACATTATATCACAATGTACTGTACAAGTTCAGAGGTCCTCTTTGTCACTATTCTATCAAAATAATTCATGACGGCCCTCCATTCAGCTTCTTATTAATTCTATCATTGTCATTGGGAAATATATATCATATAAAAAGTAAATTACTTTGTAAGTTTGTCAAAAGAGGATTAAATAGGACCCAGCACACATTAAAATATGGATCCAGGTTATCTTACCTCTCAAAGAGTGTTGAGGGCATCATTAAAAAGACATGAAATCTATAGACAATTGAATGAGTCCTTATGGTATGGTAAAATATGTTATTACTTTAATATTTTATGAACAATGGTAAATGTAGTCCAACATGTCAACAACATTGATTAATAATTAAGTAAGACAGCATTAATATATTTATGACATCGTAGAAATTTTTGATGAATTATCATCTAGGTGGGAATACATATACGTCTGTCCATATCTAAATACTTGAAGCTGGTCTATTTCAAACAAGTCTTTAAAGGTGCAATATACATCACCTGCCTGAATTTACCTCTACAACATCGACAACAGGATTCAAATTTGAAAGGAAGAAAGAATGAAATATATAAGCATCTAATTAATATGTATGAGATGCACTCATGGATTTTGCGATCAATGATTGTCAAAGCGTTTGGATAAACTTTTGCCAAGTATGAAAGATATCATTTCGATCATTCATCAAACCAATTCTCATGTGGAGATGAGTTATTACAACAGGACATATCTGAAGCTAAATTCCCTCATGACATGGACCCTCATTTCCATGAACTACAGTATTGCACAGTAAAGGCCCTTTTAGACACACGGCAATTAACAGCTCAAAAGTTGAGAAATAAATTGCAGCAATATTTCACTTTATACCACACAGATCAGTGAGTTAAATGCAGATGGTAGGTGCAGTTCCCCCCTCCCCCTCCCCAATTTAAAGACAAAATATTGTCACTTGGCATTCATTCACATTCAAAGTTTGGCTGCTGCAGGTTGCTTTTTTTCCAATTCGTTTACTGCATCAGGTCTGAATGGGGCTATTTGCTTCATGTCTACTGCACAAAGTAACAATGAGTGATTAAATTTTCTTACATATCCTCCATTTTCTATTTTACTGACTTCCCTCTTCAAACGTCATCTCATAAACATGCAGCAATGCACTGTCTCCTTAGAGCCAGAAGGGCATTGATAAAATAAAAGGATGTGAGCTTACAATTTTCTGACAATGAGCCAATAGTGATTTTTGTTAATGCATCCTTTGTACACTGCATTGGGTATATGAATAAGGGAAGCAGGATAGAAGCTTAGATCTCGTTCGTTTTCAGATCATTACAAATCTTTATGTCGAGAATACAACCACTTATCTTGGAAATATCAAATATGCATAGGAACAGGATTATTCTGACCAACAAGTGGTTTAATAAATGCACAAAGCTTAATCATTATATTATGATAAGCAAAATAGTGATTCTCAAAATCCAAAGAAATTACTGGCATGATTTTTAGCAACTACAAAATATATGCATATTGAATATCAATTTTGATTTCAAGCTCACCAGATTTTGATTTTTAAATTTCTTTCATGCATATTTCTAGGCCGGTTCAAAAGGGATTCAGAGCTCTTAATCATTAGCCCCACCCATCTTTAGTAGAAACAGAAGCAACAACAGATTAACTTTAATTACAATATCAGTACTGCTACAGAAGCAAAAGTCTATGAATCTCATTTGAAAGACTCTGACAGGTACCTTTCTTGAAGAATGCCACAAGCCTATTAAAATATACAACTCATTTGAATTCAAAGACATTGCATTACATTTCCATTAGATAAATTGAGCTGTGCAATTATCAGTAAATTAAAGGTTCTTATTATAGTATCAACACCTTACTGTTAATAACCCCATTATATTAAACCATGTCAAACATGCAGCTATTAGTACACACATTTGAATAACTAGAATTAGGTCATCTTCTAGAAAATGGAATATTACATCACATAACGAACATCCTGATTTGTTATGTTTTTTATCATCTTTATTGGAAAGCCTCTTCCCAGAAAACGAGGTATATGGAGCACACAACCTATGAATAAATATTACAATAATTAAAAAACATAGGTGCATAAAGACAAATGCAACCCTGTCAAAAATGAAAGCAAGAATGAACAAAAATGCATAAATTGTAGTTATAAATTTTGAGTGAACGACAGAATAACGTCATCTGCTTGAAGCCAGAGGAGCATTCATTCATACAAGCCAGCAATAACCACCACCCGACTTAACATCCTTATGACTCCAAACAGACAATATACAAAAACAAACCATGAAAGGTACATTAGAACATTGGCAAGAAAATTGGATGAGGGATGTCATTGCATATCAAAAAAAAAATGTATTACAGAAGCATATTATTGCTAATAGCGTGAGTTGATTGGCAAATAATTATATGCAACAAAAAGAATCCTGAGATCTACCTGAAATAGACCAAAATCTAATAGCTTATGAATAATACCACAGTAGCTGATTGTATAAATCATAAGTCTCACTGCACAATATACACATATCTGTCAAAATAAGATAATGTAATTCTGAGAAATAGACATTTTAAACCAAATGTATTTCATGAAAGGGGAAGAGAAGGAGTTACTATGACTGACTACCATTCAGCATGTGGTGGCGCTATACTATTTTTGTCTGTGAGTGAGGTAGAGGGAGAGTATTCTTGTGATGAAACAGCATACTCTAGTGATTCTCAAATCACTTGTAAAAACATTTATTATTATTATTTTTTTTCTTCCCCATTTCTGTCCACCATTGGTGTTGACAAAAATATAGAAGCAGCATTTGAGTTGTTTTAGGTTCATTCTACTGGTAAGTGTTTTTCCTTGAGTATGTGTTATATCTTACTGGGCTTGTTTACATTGGCATCATTTAATAAATATGCAGAAGTGTACTATACAGATACATGGCTGCGATTGGTAATACTTTCTATACATATGCAGCACTTGCTTAGGGTATTTACTCTTTACTTTGCATGGATCAAAACTCCACATGAAGTAATGGGAATCTTGATGATACCTCACTTTCTGTTCCTGACCCTTTAAAAAAAAAATTATTGTACCCCACCTCTTGCTAAACTGCTCTCCCAACTCCCCCAATCACCCCCATCCTTGCTGTCTTTACTCTTGGCTGATGACATCAATGCCAATGATATTATACTGGACTTGGTGCATGTTTGGCTGGGGGTGATCGTTATTGAATTCTTCTAGAAAAAATAGTGACCCTCTTACTAAACTGCTCTCCCAACTCCCCCAATCACCCCATCCTTGCTGTCTTTACTCTTAGCTGATGAGGTCGATGCCAGTGAATGTTTACTACTTGACTTGGTGCTCGATGTGAGCTTGGGTAGTGGAGGTGGTTTCCTGTGCTTCTCATCGGTCAGTGGTCCAGGAGGAAGCCCCTTAGCTTTGACCATTGTCCGGATGAAGTGACTGATCAGATGGGTCAGCTGTGATACCTGCATGGCACAGAGAGAATAAAAGGACATTTATTAATACTTCATAAATCTAGTGGATTGTATGTATCCATCTTTACTTCAAATGAAAATTAAAGTTAATGCAATAAAATAGCATGTATGTAGGTTTTTCTCCAACAAAATTTGTAGCATCACTCAGTTAAACTACCCAATTAACAACTTTTGTGTTTCAATTTTTGTTTTTCCTTTTAAACTGTGCACATGATATATTCTTTTGGAAACAAGTTTCACAATGAATATAATAATTTTGTTCTCTATAGAAAACACTAAATATTTTAAATAAATACAGAGCAAAGGTTGCATTCTAAGGATTCACTGCCCCACAGCATAGACAAAATAAATATGATACCACAAGTATTTTAGCTGTTCAGAAGTAAAGACTGCTTGTATTCATTAATGAATGTTGGCAATAATCCATTTAAAAAACTAAAAATCAATGCATTTCATGCTAAGCCTGGGAAATATCAGATTGGACGTAAGGGAAGATGAAAGTTTAATAAAAATCAAATCTCTTTCAACTGGCTAATACTTTCAGGATATTAAAGTATGTACTGACCTTTGCCTTGGTCATATCAAACATAAGTTTATCTGTAGTGAAGTCAGCATCATCCTCCGTCTGTTTTCTTACTACCAGCATGAAGTCGTCACGGCAACCACCAAATGTAACAATGGATGACAGGGGATACGAGACCTTGTCCTCCTGTAATGACAAATCAAACAAACAAAGTATGAATGTGTGATATTTACACATGTTGGGCGACTATGACAGCTTTACTTGCTATATACTACATGTAAGATCTAGGATGGGGACTATCAAGGTACATGAACAAAACTTGATTTATCTGTTCTTTGTATGTATCCCAACTGATGCTGTACGTTTTATTTAATCAACAGGAAACAAAAGCATATCAGATGCAGCTTAACAGAACATGATAAGACAGTAGAGTAAGACAATGTGGCATGAACAGTCTAAGAGGTTTGAAATGCAGACTCAGACTACAGAAGTTTTTGTGCAATTGCATTTCATGTATTTTCTGTTTCTTTTATGACCTAAAATTGTAAGTAATGTCGCTAAATTCAATTAAGACATTTAGTTCAACATCAAAGCCTTTGGTCATAGAGCAATAGTGGAAAGGGTTGAGCAAATGTACATAAAATATCCACATTTCATTATCTAATATACTAGACTGGTAATCACTTTTTGCTTGACATAATTCGACTTACAAGTGAATTGAACTCCAAGATGCTGAGACCATTCTCACTGACTGTCAGCCAGACTCGTTCTTGTTTTCCATACTTGCACTACAAGGAAAAAAAAAAAAAACGTTCATCAGAATGGAGAGAAGAAAGAAGATTTTACAAATTCATATGCATGGAACTCCATTGATATCAGAGTACTCACATCACAAGCCAAAGGGGCCAACTCATATCCTCTTTCATAGATCTAATGCCCCTCTCGCTCCTCTCTTTTATAGAGCCCTTTTTTATGCTGGGTGATGCTATGGGGTGCAGTGGGGGGGGGGGGGAATCCAATACTTTAGTGATCACAATTTCATAACCAGCATTCAATACCATATCTTACAGAAACAATGTGTAGACATACATATAAGTGTCTCTTGATCCACACACACAAAATATCTGCCATGACCTTCAGTGGGTATTCATATTTATACCCACACAATAACTGTGCAATCTTTGCAAACCATTCAACTTTGCCCTCTCTTACAATTTTCTGTACTGTTTGTGCACATCAAACTTTTATATTACAAAGGTCACAGTGAAAAAAGGAATTAGTATTGCAAATAGGATGGAAGGTATTACAATTGCTGAATGAGTACATGCTACAGAGAGCTTGCAATGATATCTTGAGATTACTTCATGAGAATAGTGAATATGAGGCCACAAAAGGGCTTCTCAGGAATAAATTTGCATTACGATCAATAGATGCACAAATACTGAATGCACTAATTAATGCACATGCAAAATGCTATTTCATTATTTTTGTTTCCCTTCAATTTGTTTTCAATCAGTTTCTTCATCTTGCGTGTACTAATTTGAATGAACACACATCACTTTATTAAACAAGAGTCAATAAAATTGATGTATTTTGAACAGTGCAAAAGGATAAATATGAATGATATTATAATAAATTCAACATCCAGTGTACATATATCGGGTATGTGTTTCCAATGAAATGATATTGCATTCTTATGACCAGGCAAGTGAGTACATGCACAGGAGTTCTAATCCCCTATCCACATCTCAACTCTGCTTGCATGCTAGCAATATGCATGTATCACATAGCAACTTTAAATTGTTTGTAAATTAAAACAATTATACTGTGGGCAATATCTGTAGAAAATACCTCTACCTGAGATTGAAATACAAATATTTGCTGCTGATAGTCAGAAGTGTGTTACCTCAATGTTAAAGGATAAAAAAAAATGCAATTTCAGTCCACAGATTATTTATTTAACATCAGTGTTGCAGTCAGTTCGCAAATAGAAATTATGAATGTCCTTTCATCTTTTGATACATATACATGAAATCTCAATATGTTATATATATATATATATAAATATATGCATATATATATTAAATACAAAACATAATCTCTACCATCATCATATAATTTCCCACAGGAATATCATCTTACCAAAACGCTTCTCACTCTATGTGAATATTGATCACTATTTGACAACAATATTATCTCCTTGGCAAAAACAGATCAAATAGCATACTTTTATAAATTCCCAAAGTGTAAACACAAATCTTGACCTCTTTACACAAAAATTGATACCGTATCATGGATTTTTATCCATCATAAACCTTTCCTGAGGCAAGCTCTAAGTGGCTGGGTTTAATTTGTCATCCAATCCAGCCACGGAGCTCCCTTCATGCAAGTCTCCGTTACCCACGATGCCTCGGAGCCATGATGCCATCCAATACCCCAATCACCCCCCTCTACCCTACCTGTACACTTGGAAAACTGCCAAACGAGAGACTCACAGTGGCTGGTATGACGTAGGCTCCAAAGTGCCTCCATTTCCTGAGCACCGTCACGTAGATGCGGACGCACTCGGTCGTACTGCGCCCTCTTAGTTCATTCCACTTCTCGTTTATCTTGTGCTTCAGTATCCTGTTTGAACATGAATGTTGAGCACGGTTTTAATGAGCAAGATCCTCTCTAGTCTCTAGTCATAACCGGTGCACCAATTGAGGCACTGATATTCATGGGTTTTGTTGCATCACATGCTCGAACAAGTACAACCCTTATGACAAGATCAACTATGAACAATTTTAAGCCTTTCTTTTTTAACTACTAGGTACATGTTTTTTTTTCTAGATTTTTCTCATAAGACGGCTTGGTTTTTGTATATGCTTGAGTGTGTAAGGGCACTTTCTTGACTGATAAAATGTTATCAAGTAATATAATTTTTAAAAGAATAGGGAAGCTTCTAACATTCTCAATAAACAAGGAAAACAAAATTTGAAGCCATAAAGTAATGAATGCGACTGAGAGTATTTCAATCTAGACAAAGAAAGTGAAACATCTAGAAACCCTAATCCTAAATTTTCATTAAATACAGAAAACATAATAGAAGACATTTGTAAGAAATCAACAGGACTAAAGACTACAGAGTTATTAAAATCTAGAAAGACAAGGTGAAACAGAGAAAAAAAGAGCAAGTACCTTAATGAAATACAAAGAATCAAACTTGTTACTTTCATATAAATGTAATTTCTTCAAATGTATTTATGTTTCCTTGTAGAGAAACTTGAGAAAGTTCGATATTTACCTTCTTTCATTTTCTGCTGCTGGTTGATACCTGATAGGATAGAACCTTTCCAGGACAGTATCCAAGGTCGAGGGACTAGCTGAGCTGACAGATCCCCCCAAGGGTGGTTCAGAGGATGAGCTTAACTTACAATCACCTAGATCAACCTGTGTACAGCCAGAAAGAAAGAGAGAGAGAGAGAGAGAGAGAGAGAGAGATAGAGAGAGAACATTAGAAAAGATTTTAACTAAATTTAATATGTACCACAAACTAAACACCAGGTTCTCAAGAAATTATTTAAATGAATATGTAAGAGACAAATTATGAGAAATGGCTTTTTTCAGTATATAGGTAGAGCACAAATACATATTCCACCACTTTCTAAAGGAAAAGATACCCGTTTCTTTAAGAGTTCAAGCAACATAACACACACCATCAATATTCCTAAATTGGGTATGCTACTCTAGTAAATGATGATTTAAGGAGTCATAGCATAAAAATCAAGAATTAGCACATAGAAAGATAAATTCGTATATTTACATATTGGAAGAAAGATAAGTAAAAACAGTATATAATTTCTTATGTTTCTGAAGAAAATTTGTTTGAGTAAAGTGCTTTGAAATGATTGTATTTAGCACTATAGAACTGATTTTATTTTCATGATGAATAACTGAAGCAAATATATGAATGAGCATCCACTGATAGCAAATAATGTTTGGTAATGGAGGGAGAAAGATGTAGAGAGAGAGAGAGAGAGAGAGAGAGAGAGAGAGAGAATAGAGAGAATAGAGAGAATTCTCTACCCTCTATTTAAGCATTAGTTTTTATTAAAATCACCATTTTAAACAACAATATTTTACTGTATTTTTGTTTTGGTGGCAGCACTAATAGGCTTTCCTAGCTGTCTCCACATTCATATGATATTTTGTTTTGGTATTCTATTGTAAATGTTTTTCTTTTTCTTTACACTATGTTTTATATTTTATATGTATGTATGATTTTTTTTATGATGAATGAAATAAATATCAATTTCAATTCAATACAACCCCCAACCTACCTGAGCCATAAGTGAGGCTAATTCCAGTGCCATCTCTTTACTGACAGGAAACCTTCCAGCAACAAGATCTGAATTGACTTGATATGCTAGCAACAAACGTTCTCTGTCTGTTTCATGGTGACTGCATCGTCTCTGGTATTCTCTAAAGATAAATAAGAAGAAGAAGAAGAAGAAATAATGCGTTTAACATCTGTGGTTCACAGCACTCAGAAAACACTACAGCATCAATACAGGGTGATTCTAACAAGCAGAAGGTCTGAGTTGACTTGATATCCTAGCAACACAAATTCTCTATCTGTTTCATTATGACTGCATTGTCTCTGGTTTTCTTTGAAGATTAAGAAGGGAAAGAATGCTTTTCACAATGTAAGTTTTTGTCCACCACATTTCAGAGGATAATACAGTGTTAATGTCCCTCAGCCATCACATCTAACAAATACATATCACTCAAAATACTTTAAAGACAAATTATAATGATTTACACATTTATTTTTCATTGCTGATACAAAAACTTTTCAATAGGGTTAATACCCTTGCAGCTATATTCTGCTTTAAAAGTAGAAAGGCATTTTATTCTTAGACCAAACATTTTGATTACAAAAATAGCTTTTATGGGGAGGGTTCACTGACAAACGCACTAAAAAGGATATAACCGAATACGATCTCATGTGCCAAACTGATAAACAATAATAAAAGTCTTACTTATGCTTGTATGTAAGTCTGATGATCTTGGAGCCATCTTTCTTGCCGGCCTTACATTCCTTGGATGCTTGCTCCCACTTAGAGATGACATCACATATCTATCCAAAAGAGAGGGGGGAGAAAGTAATCATCAATTATTGCTACTAAAGCGAGGTGGCAAAATAAAGCTGCATTGGCATGATAGTGAAAATGAAATAACTCCATCTGATGATAGGGTTGAGCTAACCATTTATCAAAATAAAATCAGCTTTTACTTCCATGGTGAATTCTTTATCAGTGTCAAAGACTTCAATTATCTTCATCGATTTTCCTTATTCTTAATGAAGTTTGAATTTTAGCTTGCCTTTCTTCAATTTAGCACATTAGAAGGGTTAATACATACGACTAGTAATATGTTATTTTCTTATCGTAACAGGGCAGTTTGGCCCTGCCCACTGACAAGGTTCAATGTCATTTTTTATCAGTATATTTTTCCCTCATGGTAACTCCCTAAAAACCCCACCCCCAGTAAATGTGAAGCCAATACTTTCTGCCATGTTTCCTGCATCACACTGCATCAATTTCGACTACAACATGTACCCTTAGGGAATGCATAGTAATTCACTACAAGGATTAAATGCAAAACCATGAATCAAATATCCAGTAGTTCTCAGGATTCTGTATGATTACCTTCACATTTGTTTGCAAGCAATGCTGGACCTGCTTGCCTGATGGGTCGTCAGAGAACAAAGCAAAACCTGATTCCTCTTCTGCTCTCATCCCACTATGATGGTTGAGCTGACGTAAGAACTCCTTGACAGTCACTGAACTGTCAAAGCCTACAACCTGATCAGAATCAAAAGTACAATCAAGAGACTGAATTAAAACAATCTATTCAAATTTATAGAAACATGCAGGGAAACACTAATCGGGAGAATATATTGCAATAGTGATATTCAAATTTATTTTTAGACAGGCATACTGGATCCTTTCATTCTTACTGATATTCTATGTCCATTAAAGAAGAGCAATATAAAGCTTTAATAAACAGCAAATTTAACAGATTACCTGCATGAGAAGTATCTCACACTTTGTACGAGAAAGCACAAGGAGGTGAGAATTGGGAAGACTTGATATTATTGTTGACTATGTTTTTGTGCTAAAATGAAATAATCTTATCTTGCACATCATTGAATATCTGCCCTGGAAGCAGTGAAAAATCTAACTTTCTCAAGAAACTTTATTTTAGTTGACCAACCTGATAAGTGCTATTAGCAAAGTGAACTGGAATGCTGATGGGTTTAGAGTGATAATATGGATGCCTCTGAACCATGGATAGGACCTCAAGCTTAGATGGCCTGGCCTCTCTCCTTCCGTTTCTGTTCGTACGCTCTACTGATCGTTGACAGAAGATGGCGTATTTCCCCCCTTCAGTCCTATTACAGAGGGGGAAAAAAGTTGTTACTTTCTGACACTTTCTGACACTTTCTGACACTTTCTGACACTTTTTGACATTTTCTGACACTTTTTGACAATTTCTGACACTTATGAGAGGGCAGATGTCAAGATTGATGACTAATATTGAAGTAGGCCCCATTTATAGTTTTAGATGAAACTTTACCCCCCCCCCCCCCCTCCCCTTAAAAAATTGACAGGAGTCGGCAGAAGCATGGCACTTTAATAACAACATTTATGACGATGAAGTGATTCTACAAATATAAGTTATCTTGATTTTGCTCAAAGTAATTGAGCATGAAAACATACTTTTTTCCTAACATCTTTGAGGATGCTTCAAAAATAAATAGAGGCAAATTCTACTGCACACCAATCTATGATGCATTTCCTTCTACATGTACCATGAATAAAATAATAAATGGGTGGTAATTGTCATCATAGTGTTGTCTATCTTATGTTATATTATATTTTAACTGAATACATCACAGATAGAAATTGTGCATTTTGAAATCCTATTATAGCATTTCATACCTATATTTCCCCAAATCCATTCATTCAAGAAAATTCTCAATGCATGAAAAAACATCTGAAATCCATACTTTCATCAGGAGTTGTTGGATACTTACTTTGAGTTTGCAAATCTTTGTAGATGTGTCTTGAGAAGCCACATACACTGATGAGAGGGAAGGAAGAGTTGACAGATCATGGCTAGTAGCTGCCATGCTTGACTGATCATATGATTGCTAGACTGACTTGATCCTGTACTATCATCAGCACTCTGAAATATATAAGATATATGGATCAAGTAAAATGAGATAAAAACAACAAAATTGCAAATGATATGGCAAAAACAACTCACATTTAAAAAAAGACTTCTCTGCATGCTAATTAATATGTGAAAATAAAAGCAAAGCAACAGATGAGAGTACAAAATGTACAACCCACTTCCTAAATATGTATTCTGGATGATGTAATGAAATATTAGGACATTTTTCATTAATTAATCTGCCAAAGAGAAAGTACTATAAGTAAGATATAAAGATGTATTTTTTCATCATAACTTTATGAAGCTACCCAAGCAGGATACAGAAGAATAGACTTTGAGCCAAATAAATAATGTTTTAGAAAAAAAAAGATCAATAGATTATACTGTTTGTATTTATAATTACATGTATATGATTATATCACCAGGCATTGCAAGAATTGTCTGGTGGAAGTCAGAAGGGTGGTCACTCATTTCAATTAATACAGAGTTAGTGCCCTTTCTTCTCTCAGCATCACAAATCAGAAATAAAAGAAGGAATCAATTTAATCAAAGAATGTGAATCTCTTACCACTGCTTTTGTTAATGCTGGTCTGTGATTGGTTTGTTTAATCAGCTGACAGTACATTTCATTCTGCAGCTCGGTATGAGAGAGACCCGTTTGCAAGGCATTCTGGGCCAGGTTGACATGATAGTCCACAGCAGGCATGTCCACAGATGAACTGATAAATAGATTGCATGACTGGAAATTGAAGGAAAAGAAAGGATGAAAGGGAAAGATTGTAATGATCATATTTCTATAAGATGGTAATCTTAAAGCTTATCTGCCGTAGTTTACGGGAGGGATTAAACTGCCCTGCAAGGTCACTGGACAGATGGTTATCTCATCAACTCAGCTCTCAGTTAACATAAGAAAAAGAGGATCATGGGGACCAATGGTCACCGATTAGGCATTGTTTGTTATATAGAGGGCGCAAGTAGCTACAAGTAGTGCAGTTGGCCTTTAACAGACAACTTGCATAATCAGTAATTTGCTAGTTTAAAGATGGTATCTGGTATAGGTCTGTGACATGCTGCCAATAAGAGTTGAACAAAATAATGATGAGCTTACTTACAAATAAGTGCAAATAATATGCACACATTTTATTGTAGATTACTGCCATAGTTCGTCAAATAAAAAGAACGTACCGTACATGTCTGTACCATGAGTCTTAATTCAAGACTGAGCGATGTGACCATTTCATAGATGCTGATTCACTTCACCTTTCTTAATATATATATACACCTGTAAGAAACCTTTCATTCTACTTTTGACACAATACAATAAGATAATATACAATATTCTACAAGAGCTAAAGCAAGGGTAATAATTTCCAAAGCTCCTTGGAAGGGCATAGAGATGTTATTTCATAAAGTATTATGCCCTATACAAGAACTGAATATTATTATTATTATTATCATTACTTATTCTCACTTTACTAAATTTGACAGCCTCTCTACTGAGTGCATCAGACAGGAGAGTGGTGAGGGGGCGGTCTCGACTCTCCTTGCAATACAACATGACAGGATGCTTCCAGAGTGGACTAGAGAGGGGGCTCTCACTGTTCATCAGCTTCTTGATGATGTTTTCAAACTCCGTGCCACCGTCGGGCGAGTTGCTGCCACTCCCACCACTTGCAACCATAAAGTGGTACAACCAGGAGTCCTGAAGGAATAATTTGAGCAATATCAATTTATTGTACATTCTTTGACATACTGTGTAGCCATGACTATTAATCTTTTCTCATGGCACGTGCTTTTACTTTCACTTTTCCTGCAGTGCACTGAAAAAATAGTAGATAGCTATTATTCTTTTTCATGAGATATATAAATTCATTGTAGACAATGGGTATGATCATTCATTAAGAACATCTGCTCAAACAGAAAATGAAACTTGCATTTAGAAATGTTTACTTTCATGAAGTACCGAAGGGTAACAGTGTTAATGATTATGCTTGGTGACATGCATGACTGTAAAACCATGTAACAAGATGAAGTGCACAAACAAAAGTAAATGTAATTACAGGACTCTTTCTTTCTTTTGGACAAATTATGATCATTTTTAATGAGAGACATATGTGGGCTCTAGCAAAATATCATTAAGTATCTTTAAGTTTCAAAATAAAACAAAAATATCATTAAACATCTTTTAGTTTCAAAACAAAACCATCAAAGGTATCATGTGACACAGTTTCATATCTCCTAAGATAAGCACCAATTTCCTGAATAGAGCTCACCGTCATAAGGTCATTTAGGTAGTTATAAAAGTATTGATGAATTTCAATAGTAAGATATCTATGATGTGACAAATCATGGCTAAAACACCACCAATAAGTTGCAAATCTTATAATGTGGGGGGGGGGGGGGGGGGTCATGAGGGCATATGTCCCTCCCCTATCCAATTGCAACGATAATTGATGCCCAATAAAAAAAATGATGTTTAATTCAAATAATGGAGGAGATATTTATTTCAGGATTAACAATAGTACTGAATATACTTTGTTGTGATTAAAAAGAAACACAAGAGCATTTCTTTTTACTCATGTTTTGTAGAACAAAATATTGAGATAAAATGTCAATGACGTTTCATAATTATTGCACATACATACCTTTTCTTCTTGGGAAGAATAGTTGAGGAAGGTGGTACTTTGTTTGTCTGGCTTGCGAGAGACGATGGAGAGGGTAAACTTTGTGGGCTCGGTCTTCTCATCTCCCTCATCATCAGACACAGCTGATTGGTCGACCTCTGAAACAGATGCCTCCCTCATATCTATCGAACCAAGAGGAGCCTGAAATAAAGAGTTAATATGTTTACCATACAGAGTTTATGTGTTTACCATACAGAGTGTAAATGTTTACCATACAGAGTGTAAATGTTTACCATACAGAGTTTATATGTTTACAGTGAAGAGGAATAAAAGATTTTCAGCTAAAAGGAAATAGAATCTCAAAGTTTATATGATGAATTATAAATCAAATACATTTCTTTTGCACAATGTTTTCCTTCTTTTGCTCTTCAGGATACTATAATTATAAACAAGTTCATTGAATGGTAATTATGCAAACATTAAAGAAGGCAAGAAGGAGAGAAAAAGAGAGAGAGAGAGAGATATATATATAATATGATGTTAAATATGGAGGAATAGAGGAATATAAAAAAAAATAGATATTAATACATGTATCATTTCTTGTATCATTATCATGTATCATTTCTTGTATCATTTTCATTTCTTGTAAATCTTAACTCACCTACTGGAATGTATGTTTATATTTTCATCTCACACAATACATATATTTCACTGAAGGACTAAACTGTTCATTCAACAACAAAGCATGATAAATGATAGATAGCAAAATAAAGTAAAACAGTTTGAAGTACATGAGCTTGAAACATCTTTCAATCTATAACCTAGACATCATTCACAAGGAAATGAGACTACTTAAGAAAACTATCAACTTGTCTTCACCTTGTCCTTGTCTGATTTGTAGTACTTGAGGTTTCTATCAGCGAGGACAAACCAACATCTCTTGGAGTTGCCTAGTTTGACCTTGGTGACCCAGCCTTGCATGGTGACCCCTTGAGGGAGGGCTAGGGGTAACTCACTGGGTTTCCTGTACTTCTCCAACACCCTCTCAATTACTGCAAAAATGGATGAAATTTTGAGTTTGTATGGAACACATGTGACAGCAATGAGATAATCTACAAACTCAGTCTAATATGATACTTTCAAAAGGGAGACAAAAATTAAAAGAATTTGAATTTTTTGTAGAGTGGCATAATTTAATATCACTGAGAAAATGAAAATATACAATTAAAATCTTGCAAGTTTTCGAAGGGAAAGTATAATTTATGATACCATAAGGTCAATATCATATAAACTTCACATTTCAAATTTGAAGATATCTTTAAATATAGCAAAGTATTTTTTAATTCTTTGTTTTTCAAGTATGACAAGTATAACTGAATAATATATGAAAACAATGAGTTTTCTAGAATGTAACCTGTCATTTCTATCAAATCATATCAAATTACACATTAAATAAAATAATGATTGCTAAGTGGGCAGACTAATGTTTATCACATCTTCAATATGATCTATCATAGAAAAAAATGTTTAACAATGATTTGTATTAATTACTCTCAAAACTAAAAGCGAATCCACTAAAAATAACATTAAAACTTCTTACATGCACGCACACTTTAACGCTTTACTTCACTTTCTCAAAACAGATCTACATCATGATCCAAACGCAGACATCTTAATCAATAACTCACGTTTGATCCATTCTTCCATGACGGCCGGTGACTCTGCAGTGAGGTAGTAAGTCCTCTTGGATGTCGCCAGCTCGAATGTCTGCAGACCCTCGGAGGGCGCTATTTTGCAGAACTTGTCAAGCGGAACTTGGCCCCGGGGTTTCCTTGAGGTGTCATTCTATTTATGAAAAATTAATGAAGATGGATTGACAAGGATTAATGTAAAGGCTCATGTGAGCTCAGTAAATATTGGAAGAAACAAAATGGGTGCTCGCTTTACTACAGTAATACCTATTTGCACAGGTATCATAATTTTCTTTTAATTTTATGGATATGTAAACAAACAAAAAACTGTTTTGATTACCGGTATATATGTATAAAATTCACATGCATGATAAACTGAATTCCTGAGATATCTATATAATAGAATTCCCCTGTCACCATGGACTTCAAGTTAAGGATTGAACATGGTGAACATATGAATGTTTATTTTTAGTACTATTTAAAAAAGGCAGTAGTTCGACACAATCTATGAATGCTGCTTGTAAGTATCGGATTGCATGGTGATGTAGATATACAGTAGGCTTGCGTATGCACCATGTGAGAGAGAGGGAGGATTGAGGAATCCTGAAAAGGACTCTCGATAATCTTTCTTGAGGGTGTGCTCACGAACGCCTGCTATTCTCCACTCCTGACGACGGATAGTCAACCTGTTTGAAAAGTCGAGCTATTCCCGCCACCTATCCTCTCCAAGCGCTATAGTTCTCCTTAGAACTATAGGCTAAGAAAGAAAACTAACAGTCTTTTTCAAGACTACACCAACAGTCCTTTTCAGGACTACACACCCTCAAGAAAGATTACCGAGAGTCCTTTTCAGGACTCCTCAATCCTCCCTCTCTCTCACATGGTGCATCCGCAAGCCTACTGTACAATCTATGAAGTATTTGATGATTATCTTTAATATATAAATGACAATTCTAAATGATTCTTTTCTTTTCTAGCTTATCAAACATGATGGTGTGTCTCCTCCCCTCCCAATGTCATAAATAATAGAAATTACAGGAACTTGTACAACATAAAAGTATAATGTTTGCTTGTAGCCTGTCGGTCTTTTACTCAATATGCTTTAACACAGAGTTAAAGACCTTCTGAATCTGACCAGACGATAAATAAGAAGCAGGTCTGTTCAGACTCTTAAGACTTACTGGTGATTTGTAGTAGAGTAGTTCAGACTGCCCAACCTTTAGAACAAACCATCGTCTCTTCCATGTCTTCACCCGTCCACCAAGCTTAGTCAACCAACCAGCCTTCTCTAAAGGCTCCTTAAGAAAGAGAGAGAGAAAGAGAGAGAAGGGGGATAATACAAGGAAATGATGGAAAAACACAAAGATGTTTATGTTCAACAGCAAGTTATTCTCTGGCTTCATATTGAGAGAATTCATTGACATTAACTTCTTAAGTTTTGACTTGGCAAAAATCATTTAAATACAAAGCTTAAGATAACACTGAATCAAACTTTCCTACAGAAGTGCCTAATGGGTCAAAATATTACAATGAAATATCAGATATCATATCATTAATCACAGGATTAATTGAACAAAACTGCTCAAATTCACAATACACACTGTGGTTCAAACTAAAATCATAAAGAATGGTAATATGACATTTACTTTGGGCTATATATATTTTGTTGAAGAAAAGGGGTTATACTGAGCTTTAGGTAAGGGTTAGATTTGGTATAGTCTCATGTTGTGATTGGAGTTCAAAATGTGTGACAAGTTTTCACTCGTGCATAATGCTGTACAACTGAATAAGAAAGAATACCTTATCAGTCTTGTCAATGGAATCTAAGCTTGACTTGGAAGCCTTGTCCAGACTACATGTCTTGAGTAGCTTAGCCTTGGGTTCTGGTTCGTCCGAGCTGTTGCCGTCATGTGACTGTGACCTCACTGCATCAGGTGGTATCGAGTAATCAGCGTCAGAGGCCGAGGATTGAGTTGACACACCTAGACAGAGAGGGACAGATCAGAAACACATGTGACAATCTCCTATCACAGGTAAATCATGCATCTAGTTACCACATGTTCTTAAATTGCACTCTTTTCCTACCCTCTCACATTTTGACATTCCCTAGGGGGTTCTGTCATAGGGCTGAGTTCTTTTGCTGAAGTACATGTTGCATATGAACCATGAAAGTGCATTGGCCTTTCAGATTGGACAGAAACTTCCCATCATCAATTTTAAATGGGGAAAAAAGGTGGAAGAATTGTTAAATATACTTTAATTTTTAGCCTATGTTATGTTCCACTCAATCATTGAGTTATCAATGTAAATATGTATTGCTATTATGGAAATAAAAACCTCGTTTGAGGATAAGAGGGAAAAAAATGGGAAAAAAGGAGTTTCAATACTACTCCAGGATTTCATATGAATTCTGTGTAAAGTACAGTGAACTAATTATTCAACTATTTCCTGCATGCTCTCATTGGGCTTCCTAGAGAGGAAACTATAGGAATTGTGTGCATCCTTGTTTTCATTTCATTAACTTCAAAGTGTCAAATGATCTTTCACCTACAAAATGACAACCACTGAGATTACATCTCAATTTACAGTTCTTATGAGTTCACATTGAGCTGTGAACTTTCTGTTTCTTAAATTTTTATAGTTAGATTATGTAACCTGATGCATAGGATGAACTTAAAAATCTTCTTTTTTTGTCAAAGTGAACTTCCTTCTCTGTGATGTTTTGCATTTCCTGAAAAGAACTACTGCACAGAGTAGCTTAGAGAAATAGAATGACATGCAAAGGTGTGTCCAACAGCGAAAACTTTTTTCTTTCATTTAATAATTATATTTTATAGAGGCTAAGCCGCAGTATTGTGAACTAAAGATTATCAATACTCTTACAGCCTTGATAAAGCTGAGTAATACAAAAAATGTCATCTAGATATTCAGATAACACTTTTTTTTTTAGATGCATTGTGATGGATATATAGACCAATATATGTATACATACTCATCCTGTGGACAAGTTGAATTAGTTTTGGTTTTACAATGGAGCTCGAAATGAAGAATGGTTCCTGAATCCAACTTAACCACTTTGTGTGACTGTGTCATCTCTTTTTAGTTAACTAAGGACCGGGAAGACGGTTGGAGGAAACCATACGTAAAATGCATCACAATAAGCAGTTTTCTCACTGTGTCTCAACTCCTACTACATTTGGCAAAGTTACTATATCTATTATCAATACCCCTCTTCTGTCCTGCTGTAGGTAGAGTATTAGACGACCCCGCTAACATCTTCTTCTTGGGGCTACCCATGGAGGAGGAAGATGTGAGCTTGAGGCTTCCTCCGGTCCCCTTACTGTTCTTCAAGAACTTGAGAGATCCATGGGGGCTGGAGTGAGAGGCGGGAGGAGGGGGCGGCTTGGAGCTTGATTCATCGTCGGAGGAGTCAGAGGACTCGCCCGTGAAGGGTGTGGAGCGGATCAGAGTCAAACGCTGTTTAAAAAGAAAAAAAATAATGAAGTCTCAGTCTTGCTACCATGATTTATAATAAATGGACGTAATTTTGGAAAGAGAGGACTGAAAGTAGACAACGATGAAACGTTCTGTATCCTTAAATAATGTTTTAAACAAAGCATTGAATTATTCTTCATTGTCATTGCTTATAGGGCTAGTCAAACGGTAATATACTGGTAGGCAGATGCTGATAAGACTTTAAGACCCTGTGTGTCAGTACGGCATAAGATGTGAGAATTGCATTCATATCACCTCAATTGACAGATACATATTTTAAAATATCAAGTGATTTGCATTTTTCATAAGAAAAATCTCAATCTAATTAACTTACAGGAAACAAACTAGTCTTAGATTACATAAATTCACTTTCACATGCTTGTTAAAGGCAAGCTCATGGTATTTAATTTGTATATTTCCTGAGCATCTGTGACATATGTGACAGTCCTTCAAACCTAATTAGTTTTAAGATGGAAGGAATGTAGCCTTAATATACAGTCAACTCAGTTCAGCTTCAAACAGGCAAGGGGATGTGGTTGTTAGTCACATCAGATATATTGTATAACATAATAACCATCTTTCATATTGTGATATCATCAGAGTTTAGGTGTTTTTGTACATTTTTTCCTGTGACATGAATTCTTGATGATGAGCCAAACTGAGAGCAAGGTTTATATGGTCTATTTTGATTTTTGTATCCTTCTATCTTTGAAATATCTACTCTATTGTGTAAGACATATATTGAATTGTTCATGAAAACGAAATAAATATGAATTTCAATCAAGCAATCCAAGACACTTTACTATTTCATAAAGTTGACCCCTTTCTATGTTACTTTTGTAAAAACAGGTTCATAGTATCACTCATATTAAAACTTCTCTGGGCTGACATATCAGAGGAAGAGAAAATTAGGATAGAAGACTCTTAAAATAACTGTATGATTATGGTACCAAGAATTTGATTGAAAGGGCAAATTTGTAATGGAACAGGTTGCAAACCACAGACTGGGGGAAAGAAAGGAGAATGGTTTGTCTAATATAGGGGGAGTGGGAGTAAAGGAAGAAGCATTGGGGGTACGTGAGAACATGGACAGGGACATGATAAGATCGTTTAGACAGGTATAGATCAACCATCAATAAAGAATGGGGTACAGACAGTGACAAGTAGAATGGAGGGGGGGGGGGGATAAAAGGTGGGTAAAAGTAAAGAGGGAGAAAGAGAAGAAAGAAGATTATAGAAAAAGACAGGAAGGGAAACCAAGAGATGAGAAACAAAGAAAAGTGGAAGAAGAGGAACAGGAAAGAAAGAGCTAAGAAAACAAATTATAAAAAGCAGAGAGAGAGGAAAAAAAAGGAAGGAGGAATGATGAATACTGGAAAAGGTAGAGTACAAAATGAAAGTATGAAATACAGAATCGTGGGGGTAAGGGCATCAGATTTTACACCATGCAGAGGAATATTTATATAAAAATATGAAAATGGGAAGGAGTGTATCAACAATAAACTGGTAATCTACATGCAGATCTTCAGGATAGGCTGCATTGCCCCTTGAAGATTACTAGTAGAATAAGAATGGATTAGAGGTGGGGGAAGCAAGGTGAAACACATAGAATGTTCTCTTACCCCTCTTAGAGTTGTGTAGACCGGAACCTCCACATCTCTGAAGAGGCTATTTGAACTTGATCCTTCTTCCACAAGACACACTGGTACAGGAGTAACTGGCAAAGTAAGATCAACATTTCTGACTTTTTACTATATATATCAATAAATATTCATGGCATATTAAGATATTTGTATAAAATCTGTAAATCAAAAGCTGTATTCTTGTTTAATGCAAATACTTTTCACATTTTATCCTATTGCAAAACTTTGATAATTAGAAAAGAAACTTTGAAATGGAGAACTGATATTTATAGTTTACAGTACATTTATTTCACTAGCACTACCTACAGGTAGTAGAAGCATGGCAATTAAACCTTAATGAATGGCCTCAGAAAACTAGGAAGGAGTGGGACATATTTGAGGAACATTACCTCACAGTCTCAAAAGACCTCACCATGAAGGAAAATATTTAGCAAAGAATCCCGAACATGCCCTCCTACTGTCATGGCAACAAACCACAAAGTCTTCTTACCTGATGAGGAATCTATGACAGGTGCGACACTAGGAGACATCTTCAGACCTTTTTCAGCCAAGGCATAAATTCTTGTTTCCTGCAGACAAGATGTTATAAAATGATTAGTTTCCTATTAAAAAGACAAATCATATCATCAGTGATTTTACCAAGTCATTAAACATCAAAACAGCAGAGAAAGTACTTGTTTCCTGAATACCACATCTCAGATAACACATGATAGAACCTCATGCTTGCGGTATGAAAAGGAAACTGTTTCTAATGGGTTATATTTATGGTATGTGTCTTGTAATATATATACAATGATATTTATCACACCACATTTCAGCAAATGTAGTTGTGGTCCTCTTAAAGCAGACCTCTTGTTACAGAATAAAGTTAGATCTCGATACGCAAGGTCACATTATGAGACATACAAGAGGTACAAGAGATGGTTGTTGTGTTGTCTCTTTTTTAATTTGATTATTCTTTTAACACCTGACCAACCAAGAACCACCCTTCTTAGTACCGTTTCACAAGCTATAACAACAGCGCAAGACCTTGCTTTGTGATATCTACCAGGTACTTTGTAGATTTCTAAATGTTATTCTTATGAAGACCAATATCTTTAATGGAAAGGTTTTCCTTACTGTGTAAACTATGCAATACCCTAATGTACTGCTTCCTCCACTGATCAATGGCTAAAATGCAAGCAATCTTTAGATTAGATGATAATGAGTAAGCTTAATTAAAAGGGAATTTGGTAATTGAAAGAAATAGGTCAGACAGCAGTACCAGGTACATAACCACTGCTCTTGTAATTGTTTCTGACATATGTGACACTAACCCACGATGGTGCTTTCCTTTCTGGTGGTGGAGGGGGTTTACCAGAGGTCACTGACCCCTCACTCCCAGCATGATTTGCAGAATCCTCCATGAACAAGGAATCATCATCAGGAGGCTCATCGTAGTCCAGATCAAAGGCTGGATCAAAAGCAGGGCTACTCTTCTCATCCCCTCCCCCCTCATACCCGCAGACATCAGGGAGTGCCTCTACAGCTTCGTTATTGTGAAGTTTGTCAAAGTGATCATGAACATTCCTGAGACTCTGATAACCTTCTTCCGATGACGGTAGCTGCGGAAGCTCAAGGATCTCCTGACTACCTTCCATCAAGACACCAGTCTGCATCTTCTTCATCTGAACTTTCTTCAAGCTCTGGTAGCTGTCATCCTGACCCGACTGCTGGCTCAGGGAACGTGTCCTCAACAACTCTGCATAGTCGCTACTGCGAGCATATCCACCCTCTAAGAAGACATCATCGTCAAATCCTTCCAAGGTGGAGTCAAATTCTAGATTATTGACAGCAGTAGAGACTGTCCTTTCAATGGTGGGAAGAGATATATCAAGGATTTCACCATTATTAAGCTCCAGGGTTGGAAAATGCTTGGGTTTGACAGAGTTCTGAAGCATCAGAGTCGTCGCACAGACAGAGTCTGCAATGAGCGAGAGTGCAGATGGAATCACTTCGTCATCGTTCCTAGATGATTTGCGACGTGGTGGCTTTGTTCTCTCTTGCGCTTTTTCCTGCGCTATCATCAGGCTCTGTGCAAGGTTTGCACCACCATCTCCACCAGGTGTGGACGGGGTTGGAGGAGGGGCAAGTGTGGCTAAGGGAATATCCGGCGACAGTCCGCCGCTCGACGTCGACAGCAAAGACATGGAGTGATCAAGGTCCGCACTGTCAATGAGATTGTCTTCCTCTGACCCTGACATTTCACTTCCTGGGGTCAGAGCTTGTCCATTGTTTGAATAAGATTCATTCCTGTTTGTCCTCCAATCTTTCTTGGCACCATCCTCTTTATGATAGGCGACAGGACCAACGGCAAAAAGAGGCTCCTCGTCAACATTGTCATAGATCTCAGAAGTCACCTCTCGTTTGTGGTGGATGTCGTTTCCATTGAGTTCTGTTTCCGTGGTGATTGCTATGAAGTGTTCTCTGATGCTAGATGAGGTGGGTCTAGCTGGGATTGAGGGAGGATCTTCTGAGAGAGTGGAATCTGGCCTAACATCCAATACATCGTCTGATTCATTAGAACGGCCCGTGGTGTCCGCATGATACTGACCATTCTCTTGATCTGGACAGGTGAAAAGAAAAGGAGAAAGCTATGATGAGACATTTTGAAATCATATCAAACATAATTATATAACATTATTTGGATAAAAATATTGTCCATAAATCTTAGCTGTTGAGGTATAAAGAGCAAACTCCACATCATAAACTAATGGCTGTGCACAAAGTAATCTAAGGTGTAGAAAACAAAATCAGGGAAGGATTAAAATTTCTTTCAAACTCTGACAATGCAAAAAAAACAACTATAAAAACCTCACAAAAAAAATTCACCACACTTTTATTGAATTTCCTGTCTGTCTCTTGTCATCTCTTTCTTTCTGTTGAATTTACCAATAATCTGATTCTTACATTAACTTTTGAGCAGTCATTTGATTATGGCTCTACAAGTAAATGATTTGTATTCCCTAAAATAGACTCAAATACCGGTACCTTAACAAATTATATTTCCTCCAAAATGTTAAAGGTAGAAATTATAAAAGTAGAAAATGTAAAAGAAGTTGAGAAATTGAGAAAATATAGAAAATCAATTCATTATGCCAGAAATACACCTGCTCTGGTGAGAGATCAATAAGAATTTCATCATGTGATTTTCATACACCTTCTCTGCACATACATATACATGACATATAGAATCTCCCTTCCTATGATAATTTGGCTAATACATAATTGAATCAGCTCACTTAATCTTCTTTGCAGTGATTTTGCAGGGGGTGGCTGCCAATCTGTCCTTCTAATGTTCATTATTAAACTAAAAAAATGTGGTGGTGCAAGTAAAAAGTTCCGTAGCATACTGTCTACTCTGGCCTTAGTGTGATTCCTTCTAGCTCCCTTATGAACTGCATAAATTAGGGTGGGGGTTATTGCATCTACAACCTTGCCCTTTTAAGTGAAAACAAATAGATACAATTACATCAAACAGATCTGATTCCTAATGATTTGGTGGAAGACAATTCAGTGACTTACATATCATTCCTTTACACTGAATAGCTGCTTAATGAGGACACTTACTTTTAAATCTGAGTTGTAGTTTCCTGATTGTCTCATTTGCATCTTCATTCAAAATAACCAATCTCTTGTTTTCTTCTTCAAGCTGAAAACAAAAAAAATATAGATATATAAAAATGGGATTACAGAAATACAAAGTAAAGATTGAAACCAACAACAGAGGAACAGGGCAAATATTTCTCTAACACTATACTTTCCCTTTTAACTATTCGGTTAGTTTCTTCCAGTCAAGAATTTAACTGAGCACTCATTTAGACTATTTAAGGAAACTTTCTTTCAATCACAGTATCAGGCACTTGCGTCAAGGGTGTTCCCATGGATGACAATTAATGAACATTTTAACAAGAACATAATCTCAAAACTTGACTTGATCTGAGAGACGTGACTGTTTGTGGGCTGTGGCCCAGAAGGGAAAAAACGTCACTACTCATTTTTTGTTCTATTCATACAAACTTTGCTCCCCCTCTCCGCAAAATAAGTAAAGGTTACATATAGTGTTGACACTTTAAGAATAGAACACTTAACAATTCAGGTAAAAAATTCTGAAAGCAAATGACATTGTTCACCTTGAATCTCATGTGCCTGATGATGGAAGCCAAATATCATGATTATAATACTAATATGGGAACCCCCTCCCTCCTATTCATGACGATCCTATTAAAGTTCATGCTGCCCCTGTAAACTTTGTTTCTAAAATGATGCCTTATTAAGCCAATTATAAAATCTCTTATGGTTCCTGTACTAAACCTATGAGAATGACAGAATTCAGTTATGAACAGATTGAATAACTATGATGACCTGGGGGCCCAGGAAATCATAATTGAGGAAATTCACTTGATCATAATAAAACACTTCCCAAATCATTAACCAAAGACCTTGAGTGGAAGTAAACCAGTCATTTTGTTTAATTACAGACATGAAAAATGAAAAATATACCACGAGCCTAGAATGCATTAGAATTGGCTCATAATATTAGTTTTGGCAACATGAATTTCCTAAAGTACAAGTATATAAGCAAACCATTTCCTGGTAATATATATTGTTAGTGTATTGTCCATGAAAGAAATTAGTAAACATTAATGCTCATTTCTACTAATTTAAAATTTTCAGAATTATTTAAGAATCATCAGAATCATTATCCAGAACTATTCAAAGAAAATTTGAAACATATAAAATATATAATTCAAACATCATAATATGCACTTGAATCAAGCTAATAATTTCTTGGACTATCATCCTATGGATATGCTTGATTAAAATGTCATCTGTTTTTTTAGCAAGAAAGACATTAACTCATTTAATTTTCCGTTCAGTTAACGCCCTTCTGGCTCTCCCTAGACAATATAATCTGTTAAGAGCCTAGATGGTGTACACTCTGTGTTAGGATACATAAGTTAACACCCTTCTGGCTCCAAACAGATAATATATATTAATGGGGGACACCAGCATTGCCTTACCTCTCCTACTGTCGATGCTACCCATTTCTTGATCTTGGTGACTTTGCTCTCAACCACAAGGCTCTCCTGGGCTCTTAGGTCTTGCTGTAAATACACATAAAAAAGAGAAGTAAAATGTGATAAACAGATTTGAAAGTTGCTTGAAATCAGATAGATATTCATAGCTTTTTTCGTAGAGGTATAGTTTTTAAGAAAATTAGTACTTCACATTTGAAATTTTGAAATCATGTAAAGATTTTAAGATTCTTCTATAGTGGGGGATTTCTCAGACTGCTCTACAACATGAAATATTTCTGATAATGTTCTTTCCATGATAATGTTCTTTCCAGATAAAAAGAGTTGATATGCTCTTCATGGACAACACTAGATACACCTAGATTACAATCCATTAGGAGTGCATTTTCCCTGAAAATAGAATCACTTTAAGAGGGGGTTGATGCCCTTTGCGTTGGTAGCCGTCCTAGAAACTTCACTGTACTTCGACATGATTCTGTAATGGCATCCTGCAACCCCCACCCCCACCACCCCCTCCCCCCCCCCCCCCAAAAAAAAAAAGAAACACAGAAAGAATGCTATATAATGAGTAGATTGCAGTAATTTTGAACATGGTTTACTAAATGTGAAACATGTTTCTGGTGTTAATTTCCTGTTGCTCATGAAAAGTCCCCTTGATTATGAAGCATAAATTCACAAGAGATTTATGTCACACTAAATTTCCTCTTTTCTTTTAAAGATATATGTATTCAAATGCCTTAACGTTGGTACATTGTCCAATTGAGATTTTTTGGGAGGTAAAAGTTTCTCAGTACATGAACATGTACCATTTGCGATTCACTTAACATAAAATGATATTCACACTGCTCAATGGTCAAGTTACAGGTATCTGAATATCATTTTGATGTGACATCAAATGAATGTGGAAATCATATTTTATCTGCATTTGAACAAATCAAAATTTATATTCCACATACTTTATAAAAAGGTGAAAGTTCAATTCAATTATAAACACTTGGAGATATTTTTTTCAAGAGCTTGTTTTCAAAGATCTTTGGCTCATTCTCGCAATTTTTCAAACTCTTCCTCCTTCGGATTCTTGCAAGGAGTCACGCACCTGGCACATTCCCAACAACACACCCACTCATTTTCCATTTTAGCTCTTTAAATACCCTCTTAATATTGCAAAAGGACAATCATCTAAAAGCAAAGAAGAGGTTTAAAGATTTTTAAGCTGTGGGGGACAATATCATTTTTATATCATGCAATTCTATCTTGAGTTATTAGAGGTTAATAAGAGAGTGTCGCACACTTTACAGTACTTAATGACTTGCTACTTCTAGGGACCACTATGCACGTGACATATTTCAAGTTTCTGATGGCACACTTCACTCAAGTAGTGTACTTAAAAGCCTGAACTTGAAAGTGATGTTACATCAATTAAGCAAGCTTAATCAAAGTAAACAAATGTTGAAAGTTTGATTGGAATTTGCTCAGTTGTTAAATGTAAGAAAGTGTTTCATTTTTCAATAACAAATATTGCACAAATAAGTGATAACAGTTAAACTTGAAGGATTGAGCACATAATTTTCTGAAAATGTATTAATCTGAACAGGGTCTGCAGTTTCCCTTTAAAACCATGTGTTACTTGACTTGGCCTCGAAGGACCCTTCACATTGATCAACTCTCTGAGATATGAAACTGGCAGGGATCCAGCACACTTACACGCAACAGGGCAAAAACATCATCAAAAACTGATTAATACTCTTACACACTTCCCGCTCCCAGCAAAGAAATAATAAAAAGTGTACATATAGGAAAGAACTTATTACAAGATACATGGAGTTACATGAATTTCATGCATTTTTTTAAAATAGATGATTAATGACTACATCATCTCCCCCCTTCCCCATCTCTCTTTCAAGTATAATCCCTCCCCAATCACTATGAAAAGTTTAACATCAGAAGATAACATTTTCTGCACTAATTTATAATCTTCATTTTTTTCTCCTTTATACATGACAACATGATTTCTGGAGAAAAAAATATTTCTTTTTAACTTTTAAACAGTATTCTAAGGGCAAAAAGAGGTAAAGACAATGTCAATTAAATTCAGAATGGAGTATAAAATCTATACTCCATAAGATTGCACAGATTCTCATCACATTAATTTACATGTACAATATTATTGATAAACTAGCCCCCCCCCCCCCCCCCCCCCCTCCCCTCCCCGATAAGAACAGGTAAGATGCATGAGTGATCCTTCTTTATCTTGGAAAACAGCATAACATTTTTAAAACTGTGGGAAAATATCGTTGTTTACTCCATAGACACAAAAACTCTAGTATAAATAGCAATACAGAAATTGGTATATGCTATGAAGTGTGATAACTGATAAAAATGGTTCAATGATTGTCTAAGCATTTATTTCCATTCAGTGAGGACCTGGGCATGTGTGCTAAAGTGCATGTCCACTGGAGGGAAACGTGTGTACTACAAATTAATTAATTGCTTTTATCCTGTATATTGAAAAGGAATTTGGTTCTTACAAACCAAGCTCTTGAAAGCCATCAGGCATAAAAGCAAAATTTGATCATAAACTATATTTCTCTGAGGTTGGATCAGTATATGATAATAATATCCAATTATTTTACTATCTATGATCACATCAAAGATAGTCAGATATAATTGTTTGGTCCATTCATTTTATGGATATGATCGCATGTAATAAAACACCCACACTATCATTCTATTCAGAGAATAATGCACTAGTGAGCCTAAATAACTTGTTAGAAGTTCAGCCACCTATGCAGAAATAGATGAATAAATATATACCATATAAACCATCTTCCCCCAAATGTCAAATTTTGTCTCAAAAGATAGACCAAAGTCAAAGACAGAGACAATAAACAAGCTTTGCTCCTGGAATTAACATTCATATATATTCACTGAATCTTATCACCAGAACAACACCCTTCCCTTCTCTGTCTTTCTTGCATTATCTCTCACACCTATTCTACCCACATGATGTAGATTTATTTCTCAGCACACCTTATCTAAATTCTACATCCTACTCCCGTCTCCCATACTATGGAAATATGAATATCATCACATTCCCAATTCTCATGTTAACAGCACTCGTCTGGTACCTCGTTCATACTTGTCTCCAGGCAAATGTCACCTGTTTTATGTTGGCGTTATTCTTCCTGTGGGCATGGGAGGATTTGATTCTCTTTTACATCAGGTGAAATTTTCTGTTAGCACTAACCTTTACATGTCATTCACAGTCCTATATCAGTTCAATATTTGAATTTAAAGAGGATTTGCCTGACAGCCCCCAAATATCATATGTACTTGATATATTTTATCTAATTATCAGCTCTTTTCTACTCCCCTATACCTTCCCTTACTCCTCCACCTTCTCTGCCTCCTCATTCACTCAATATCTCACCTCTTCAAAATAAAAGTTTCATTGTTTAAAGGAGTCCATTCACCAACAAATATATTGTGCTGTATTACATATATGCTGTATATTTACTAAAAACTATATTAAAAATATTACCTTCAATTATAATTTATAGACAGAGATATTGCAAGTAAACGTACCAAAAAATTACAAAAATAAAATGTGAGTTGTGAGTAATACACACATGCACAAAGTTAAACTCCAAGTTAACTTCTTTGCAGGCCTTCAAATGAAATAACGCTATAATCCTGTATAACCATCTGAATGGCTTTGATTCTTATAGCCCTTTAGGGTTAACAGTTGTGTGTTTTCTGAAGATACCACAAAGTAATGAGATTCAGTATGCTCATCCTTTTCTCTCTTATTTGTTTCTTTTATAAATCCTTGAATGTCCATTTACACATGCTAATGACATAACAAATTTGCAAATGACGTTCTTTTGCATTTGCCCATTTCGTGTGAAGAGTCCCTCATCACTTCGACTCTTTCATCTAGGGCCCCTGTTTTTATTCATTTCTGCTCAATTTCAGAAAGGGAAATACCCTACTGATACAAGCACATCAAAATTAACCACAAATGACAAAGGAAACTATAATATGACACTGAAATGGTCACCTGCAGAGAGAGGGTCAAAAGAAAAAAAAGAGGTTGACCACAAAATAAAAATCTTATCACTAAATTTGGTTAGCCTTTGGAACAGCTTGACACTACTGTGAGTCATTAAAACCTGTCAAATATAAATAATGACAGGTTGGATCCTGCTAGGAAAATGATAACTAAGGATTTAAAGATGACACAAATGTTGATGAAAAGTACTAAAAGCATCCTAAAATGGGGCCCTGCGAGTTCACAACTTCAGTCAAGTGAGGCTCTCAGAGGGCTGGTATGGTTTATTATCCATTGTATAAATCCTTATGGTTTCTAAAGATGGGTGATATCATTATTGTCATCTTAATAATCTTTTATATTACTCATCATTTATCCATTATAATCTTGCTTCCGTTAGGTCATATTCGATCACAAGTCCGTATAGATTAGTCTATCCAAACCAGAATCTGTATCTCTTACATTCCACGAAAACAAAAAAGAGCTGGGTCAAGTAATTTGAACGCAACTCCAGTTGAGTATTGGATCAATTTATAAAACGGTAAAATTTGGGAGAAGTAATCCAATTACAGGGGCATGCTTCAACCAACAGATAAAATTATCTCAATTTCTCTGAGGAAATCCTCGCAAACCACAAATTATGAAGAGCGAACAGGAGCTGGGCCCATCACAACCGAGAGCTATATGAGAGCAGACAGGAGCAATGATAGTTACTCATCAGAAGGGATTACATGTATTCACACCTTCGTCGTCATCGACGTCCTTCAAACTTCACTGTGATAAGTGTGATTATGACCAGGATACACAAAAACTTTTTGAAGCATTTGCAATCATTTATGAATTCTATATTTAGACATCTTTACATAGCAAAACTTAGATGAGGATGGGTTTGGTTATAAAGCTTGTACGATATGGCTAGTTGGAGAGAGCAGTAAAGAGGGATTTTCAACATACATGCTTGTTTCTTTTCTTACATTGCTGTCATAATTTATCAGCAGACAAAAGAGAAATTTTGATT